CTTGAAGTGACCTTAAGTGCTGAGAGCATCCACTTAACCTGCAGTGTAAACTGCTCGCATGCAAAGGAACTGCTCATCTCCACGTGAGGAATTCATCTCACTAGTAAACTGCAGATTGCAGTAAAAAGTGATCTCTAGAGGTTCACCTGCATTTCTTACCAGGTTTACTACAATAGCATGAACCTTGAATGGCACCATGGGTCCTATACAAAGTGCCATTAGTGATGCTGAAGATGCTCCCAGGAAGCAGAGAAAAGGTATGACATGACAAGAAAAAGGTGACTTAATATTAGAAAAAAAAAGACAGAAAAAGGTGACGTGTTTGATAGGTAATGGAGATCGAGGTCTGCACTTTTGGTGGTCCTCCATTTCAAGATACACGAGTTCAGCAAAAGGACCACTGACTCTGGAATTGAATAAAACAATCGGAAATTTGTGAAACACTTGCCAGCACTTTCAGAGAAAGACCTTTTCAATCTCATAATGAAAATGCAACTTTTATGTAGGTGCAGTCCTGGTGTAGATAAGCGCTTGACTGCTAACCACAAGGCCAATGGTTGAAACCTACAAGCCATTCCTTAGAAACCTTTTACAGGGTCGCTAAGAGTCAGAACTGACTCAATGGTACTTAACAACAACATTACTAAAAGAAAGGCATACTTAAAAAAAAAGGCTTATCTGACTCTAATAGCAAATTCTAGCACATATATGGTGCTTGTGAGAACCGGTATAGAGACTAAGAGGCAGTTGTAAGCGCAGAACAAGGGGAAAATGAATGGTTTAAAATTAGGAAACTTTTCATCAAAGTTGAATCCTTTCATCCCATTTGTTCAATCTGTATGCTGTGCAAATAATCTGAAAAGATGGACTCTATGAGAAGGAATGTGGCATCAGGCTTGCAGGAAGACTCATTAATAACCTGAAATATGCAGATGACATAACTTTGCTTGCTGGAAGGGAATAGTACTTAAAATACTTACTGATGAAGATCAAAGAATACAGCCTTCAGTATGGATTGCACCTCAATGTAAACAAAACGAAAGTCCTCAGAACTGGACCAATAAATAAGAAGATGATAAACGGGGAAAAGATGAAAGTGGTCAATGACTTGATGTTGCTTGGATCTATAATCAACACTCATGGAAGCTTCTTCCTCTTCCGGGGATGCGGTGTTGTTGTTAAGTGCCATGGAGTCGGTTCTGACTCATAGCGACCCTGTACAGGGTTGCTGAAGCTGTAAATCTTAATGGGAGTAGAAAGACTCATCTTTCTCCCATGGAACAGCTGGTAGAACTGCTGACTTTGCAGTTCGCAGTCCAATTCGTAACCACTATGCTACCAGAGCTCCTTGGGGATGCTGTGTAGAGGCATTCAAAATGGTCAGTGTTTGCCATAACATTGTAGGCTGTCCTACAATACAGCTTCTAACAACACTAGACTGTCCAGCGTGCCTGGTAATAGAATTCTTTGCCTCTATACCAAGACCCGTACTCCTGGTGTGGCTCAGTAGACTCAGCACTGTACTGTGAACCATGTGGTGAGCAGTTCAAACCTACCAGCTGCTCCTTAGAAACCCAATACAGGGTCACTATGATTTGGAACTGACTCAACGGCACTTAACAACAACAACCTACCAAGAAAGTTGGTAAAGCGCTGAAATCTGCATTTTGTGTGTGCCCACCCTGACTTGGAGGGGTCCGTGCTCTAAAACCTAAAGTTCTCATGAGGCTACCCAAGATAAGGAAACATGTCAGCAGGGCCTATGGTGGCTCCGTGTGTCAGGATCCTCATGCTTTCCTTGTTAACGAGCAGAAAATCTTTGTGAAAGTGTTGATGGCACAATCACAGAGTCAGAAAGCTAAGTTAAAAAAATAAGGAAGGTTTTAAAAATAGTAATAATAATAAAACCTCAAAGAAGCATCGGTCAAGAAATCAAGTGACGTATCGCATTAGACTTATCTGCTGCAAAAGATCTCTTTAAAACACTAAAGAGCAAAGATGTCACTTTGATGACTAAGGTGCACCTGACTCAAGCCATGGCATTTCAGTAGCCTCATAAGTATGCAAACATTGCACAATGAATAAGGAAGCCCATGTGAACTATGATGCTTGTGAAGAAGACTGAAAGTACTCTTTCAATGGGCTGCCAGAATAAACAAATCTGTCTTGGAAGAAATACAGCCAGAAAATGTTCCTTAGAAGCCAGGATGGCCTGACTTCATCTCTAGTACTTCAGACATATCGTCAGGAAAGAGCAGTCTGGAGAAGAACATCATGCTTGGTAAAGTATAGGGTCAGCGAAAAACAGGAAGACCCCGAATGAGACAGATTGCCACTGTGGCAGCGACATTGGGCTCAAATGTAACAACCGAGAGGGTTGTGCAGAAGGACCGGCAGGGTTTCATTCTGTTGTGCATGTTGGTGTTGTTGTTAAGTGCCGTCAAGTCGGTTCCAACCCACAGCAACCCTGTATAGGGGTTCCAAGGAGCAGCTGGTGAGCTTGAACCACTGACCATGCAGTTCAAACGGCTTTGCAGTCTGCGCATTAACCCACAGCACCACACCAGGACTCCATAGGGTCACTATAAGTTGGAACCGATTCCACAGCACCTAACAACAAAACTCTACTATGATTCAAGAAAAAGTAAAGTCATTATATGACAAGTTAAAGCAAGAGAAAGATGAAGGATCTAAAGCTGGAGAACTTAATGCCAAATTAAGATGGTTGGATACTTTTAAAGAGAAATGTGACTTTGAAAATGTAAGATTGCTAGAAGAGCAGTTTTTTCCAACCAAGAGGTGACAGACGAGTTCCCAGAGCCATTAAGGAAATTATTAAGGAAAAAAAGAGATCAGCTTGAACAAGTTTTTAATGCATATGAAAGCACCTTATTCTGGGGGGGGGCGGAAGAAATGCCACAAAGGACTCCTATTAGTAAAGATTTACAGCCTCGGAAACCCTGTGCAGGGTCGCTATGGGTCGAAACCAACTCGACGGCACGTAACAACAACAACAACATTAGTTAAGAAAAGAAGTGAGCACCAGGAGTTAAGCCTGGAAGGAAAAGACTAAAATCTCTTCTATTCTGTGCAAATGCAGTTTGACTTCTGGTCAGTACTGCCCTTATCTAGAAATCTGCTAACCCGGAGCCTTGAAGGCAAAAAGATAAACACCAGTTGCCCGTCTTTTGGTTTCATAAGAAGAAGACCTGAACAACAGAACCCTGTGTCTAGACAGATTCCATCGATGCTTTGTCCTTGAGTCAAGAAGTACTTTGTCAGTAAGGGACAGGTTTTCAAAATTCTTTTGGTATCAGACAATGCTCCTGGCCACCCAGAACCCCATGAGTTCAACATCGAAGGCGTCAGAGTGGTCTTCTCATCCCCAAACACATCTCTGTTTCAGCCCTTTAGTCAGGGCAGGGGGCGGGGGTATCATAGAAATGTTCAGGTTCATTCATTACATCTGGTGCTTTGTGGGAAGGCTTGCCAGTGCCATGGAAGAGAACCTCAATACAGCATTACAAAAGTCTGGAAGGGTTAGACCACTCAAGATAGCATTGTGGTCACAGAATAAACCATGAAAGCCATCAAGTCCGAAACAACAAACTCCTGCTGAAGAAGACTGTGTGTCCAGACGTTGTGCATGACTACACAGGATTTATGGCACAAGTGAGGTTTAGCTATGACAAAGGAGGTGTGGGGTACAGGGGAGTTGAAAGATGTCAAGATATGGATCTTAAAGAAATGCAATGGCTAATAGACACCACACCAGAGAGTTAATCAAGACAGCTTATTGGAGCTGAGAGTTTCTCAACTAGTGCCCAGACGATGAGGAAGAAGACGAGGAAGAAGGAGGGCTAGTAAACAAACTGACATAAGACAATCTGACTGAAGCATTCTGGTTAGTCCATGATCGTTTTTTATTTATTTTACAATATGGACTCTTCTAAGACACAGGCACGGAGACTAAAGCCACCAGTGGAAGAATTGGTGCTGCATAGACACATTTTTAGAGAAATGAAAAAGCAAATGTCAGACAGAAATTTTCATTTATTTGTGTTTCCTTAAAGTTACATCAAGTGTCTCCCCTTTGATCTCCTCCACCTCTCCTAATTCTGCTGCCCCTGAGACAGCAAGACAACCCCTTCTCTTCCTTCTCCTCCTCCTCAGACTGCTGAACAAGAGAATGACTCGTCTTACAAACAGACAAAGTAAACTTATGGTAATGATAAACACAGTACAGTACTATAAATGTATTTTTTCTTATCATTTTCTTAATAGCAGTTTCTTTTCTGTAGTTTACTTTATTGTAAGAATGCAATATGTTGTTGTTGTGGTTAAGTGCCTGTGGAGTTGGTTCTGACCCATAGCGACCCTATATAGGGTTTCCAAGGAGTAGCTGGTGGGTTTTAGCTGCCAACCTTGGGGTTAGCAGTCCAGTGCCATACCAAGAATACAATGTATCATGCATACAATATGCAAAATATATGTTAATCAGATGTTTATGTCAACAGTAGGCTAGGACTGATTAAGTCTGGGAGGAGTCAATAGTTATATGCAGATTTTCAACTGCATGGGGTCGGTGCCCCCAACTCCCAGGCTGTTCAAGGGTCAACTGTAGTTATAGTCAGCAGACTTATGAAACAGCTTCTCAAAGCTACTTCCAGTTCCATGACCTGTGATTTCTGTATCACAAATCAAAGAGTAACTAATTTTCAGCTAGGGGTGGGTAAAAAAAAAACCTCAGCAACTGGTGATAGGTACAGGAAATACATCTAAGACCAAGCTAAATTTTCTAAGTACAAATAAAAAGAGCTTTCGCTCACTAAGCCTTATTCCTCCACGTACATCCCTGAACACAACAGAGTATAAAATGCTCACATGGAGAACCAACAATCTAAAAAGGAGAACATTGGGAATGAAAAGCCAGAACCCTAATGTGCTGTGCTATGTGTTTCCGTATTAACATTTTTGTAATCTATTATTTTCCTTTTCAGCTACAAATGAATGCCACCCAGAGCGGTCTGATGGATGCCAACACTTTTGCCATCCAGGGCAGAGATCTTACATATGCAGCTGTGCTCAAGGATACAAAGTTGGTGCAGATGATAAGTCATGCATTCCAAGTGGTAAATTCTCTTTCTTACCTACAATGCTCAACTCCCATCCCATTCTTTTCTGTTGCAAAATTTTTAAACTATGTCTTCTTTTGGTAATGAAGAGTCATTATAATTCAACCTGTGGGGCTTGTCTCCATGTTAAAAGCAAAAGTAGTGTCAAAGAAAGAGCTGTTTTATTACTGTTGTTGTTGTTAAGCCCCATCGAGTCTGTTCCAACTCACAGTGACCCTGTATAGTGAACTTGAACCACTGACCTTGTGGTTCAAACCAACCTTGTAGTCCAGCACATTAACCCACAGCACCACACCGGGACTGCACTTTTATTCCTAGTCCTGCTCAAATTGTATTTTCTGAGTTAATCTCTAAGTACCTACTATGGTAATTGTAGGTGGTTTTCCTATGCTTTGAGTACGTATCAATGATCACAAAGTAATCCAGTATGCAAGAGTCAGACTTTTATAGCTAACAGCATGACTCCAACCTAATGTTTGACTTGAAAGTTACTGACTTTTCTGATTTTGTTATCGCATATGAAGAGAAGTGTGCATGTGGAATCCTGAATTCTAAATGCAGCACAACACTGACGAAAGACAACAAGAATCTTCAACATTTCCCGTGGCAGGTAACAGAAAAAAACAAACATTTTTTTTAACGTGTTTTCATTTAACATTATGAACATCAGGTTACTTGTTCTTTCTACTCCCTTTGCCAAACGGAAATGTAATGACTCAGTGAAACAGACATCATATTTTAGGGGCACTCTCTACCAAAACTCTCTACCACATTTTCAAAGAACTTTCTAATTCTGAATTTACAACTTCAGTCGTCTTAACTACTTGCTGTAAAAATCATGTCATTATTTATAGCTACCAAAGGGCTTTCTGGAGTCCTGGTGTGGCGCTGTGGGCTAATGCGCTGGACTGCAAAGTCAGTTTGGACCTCAAGGTCGGTGGTTCAAGCTCACCAGTTGCTCTTTGGAAACCCTATACAGGGTCTCTATGGGCCAGAACTGACTCAATGGCACTTAACAACAACATCAAAGGGCTTTCTATGTATTTTAAAACCTAGCACCAATGTCATTGTTCTTAGGACATAAACACGAATAGCAGACAGAAAAGGGGGAAATACTAAATATTAAAAAATAGAAAAACAGAGAGAAAGATGATCAATTTATACCTAACAGGAAATACAGTCTAAGTACCTAATTAAAAGGCACAGATTTGTTAAATTGGATGAAAATGTAAGACCAATTATGGCACTTAACAACAATAAAAAATAAACTTAAAATACAAAAAAAGGTAACTAGTTTAAAAGTAAAAGATGAAAAAAGGGCATACCATGCCAACATTAATAAAAAGAAGGCTGAAGTGTGTATATTGACATTAAAGCAGGTTTCAAAACAAAGACTGTTACCGGAAACTTAATATGGGGAAAATAGGTTTTTGTGAAGATTAAATGAAATAGAACATGTACCAAATAGCACTGGTACTAGTTCAAGAAATGTTCATTATTTTCATTTTACTTAATTGGATAAAATGGAAAATGTCTGGAAGAGTGTGAAAAAGTTTCAAAAAAATTTTTTTAGCCTCATTTAAAAAATATAATGTTCATTAATAATTGTTGTTGTTGTTGTTGTGAAGTGCCATCGAGTTGGTTCCAACTCATAGCGACCCTGTAGAGGGTTTCCAAGGAGCGGCTGGTGAGTTTGAACCAACACTGCAAAGGTAGACTAGATAAAATGATGGAAAAGAAGGGATGAAAGGCTAGAATGGTTTCATTATTAATTGAATTAGTTACCCTTTTGCTATCTTCGATTGCCCTTTCCTCAAGTTTTCTAAGGTTTATTGAGTAATAATTCCATTTTTAACATTTTCTGCCCCATCAGACAGGTCAGGTAAGTCTCAGAACACAGACAGGATTGATGGATAAATGGTTCAATGTGCCCAGTAAATCCCTTGTAAATTATGATGCGGTTCTAGCTCTGCCTGCTGTACCCCCACCATTCACTTCCCTGTGGATTCAAGGGAATACATGCTACCACTTTAGTCTAAGAAGAAACATTAATATCAATGAGACTAAAGTCTATAATCTAAGAGATGAGGAAGACACACTGATTCAGGTAAACTAAACACTATTACATTTTTCCTCCAGTGTGATTAACAGTTTTGTTAATCACACTGGAGGAAAAATGTAATAGTTAACCGAGTAAGATTCGCACCGGACTTAACTACGAGGCCAGAGGTTCAAATCTACCAGTGGCTCCTCGGGGAAATGATGAAGCTGTCTACTCCAGTAAAGATTTACAGCCTTGAGTTACTATGAGTTGGGACCAATTCAGTGGCAGGGGAAATGTTTTTTGTTATTGTTTGGTTTGTTTATGTTCCAATAATTTCTTTTAAGAAACAGAGAACTGATTTGGTAATGCAGAGTTGAACACTACCTTTAGAAAAGTTTTTTCTTACTTTCTAAAGTATGAAATGGAGCCCTGGTGTGGTGCTGTAGGATAAGCACTGGACTGTTAAGCACAAGGTTGGTGATTCAAACCCACCAGCTGCTCTTGTACAGGATCACTATAATGGTAACATGGATTTCTGATATGACCTGTGGGTTAATGTGCTGGACTGCAAAGTTAGTTTGAACCACAAGGTTGATGGTAAAGGGTTTCCAAGGCTGCAAATCTTTATGGAACAGAAAGCCTGGGAGATTCGGGCTGCTGACCTTGAGGTTAACCACCCAGTTCGTACGTAACCCACTACGCTACCAGGGCTCCTGAAAGATACGTAGAAACTAAAGAGAAGTACGTAACTTTGGGTATATATTCAATAAAGGTTGATGTTAAGTGCTGTCAAGTTGGTTCCAACCCACAGTGACCCTGTGTAGGGTTTTAGAGGTGCAGATGGTGAAGCTTGAACCGCTGATCTTACAGTTCAAACTGACTTTGCAATTCAGTGCATTAACCCACAATGCCACACCAGGATCTGATAAATGGATTGATAACCACAGGTCGGCAGTTCAAACCCACCAACTGCTCTTAGGAAGCCTTGCACAGGATCAATATGAGTCAGAATCGACTCAACCGCTCTTAATAACAATGTTTCAAAAATGAGGCTAAAAATTTTTTTTGAAACTTTTTCACACTCTTCCAGACATTTTCCATTTTATCCAATTAAGTAAAATGAAAATAATGAACATTTCTTGAACTAGTACCAGTGCTATTTGGTACATGTTCTATTTCATTTAATCTTCACAAAAACCTATTTTCCCCATATTAAATTTCCGGTAACAATCTTTGTTTTGAAACCTGCTTTAATGTCAATATACACACATCAGCCTTCATTTTATTAATGTTGGCATGGTATGCCCTTTTTTCCATCTTTTCCTTTTAAGCTACTTGCATTTTTTGTATTTTAAGTGCATATTTTATTGTTGTTGTTAAGCGACATAACTGGTCTTGCATTTTCATCCAATTAAGGAAATCTATACTTTTTAATTAGGTATTTGGACTATATTTCCTGTTACTATTGATGTGGTTAGATTTAAAGTGATCATCTTTCTATACATATGTTTTCTATTTTTTTATTATTTGTTATTTCCCCATTTTCTGTCGTCTATTGGATTAATCATATATATTTTTTATTTCGTTTATGTTCTTTATTGGTTTATTAACTATAGTTCTGCTGAATGGCTGATTTAGGGTGTTTAGGATAGATCCGTGTTGCCCCCTACTCTACTTTTAACATAAGAAAGCCTGGTAGTATAGTGGGTGACAGCCTGGCCTGCTGACCACAAGGTCAGTAGTTCAAATCTACCAATTGCTCTTCAGGATAAAGAGGAAGCTTCCTGCTCCCATAAAGTTTTACAGCCTTGGAAACCCTATGCAGAGTCACTATGAGTGGGAACTGATTCCAGGGTACTTAACAACAACAAAACAATGGTACTGTGGGTTAATGTGCTAGACTGCAAGGTTGGTTTGAACTGTAATGTTGGCGGTTCAAACTTACCAGCCACTCCTTGGAAACCCTATACAGGGTCGTTGTGAGTCAGAACCACTCGGTGGTATGCAACCACCACTGCCACCAACCTACTTTTAGCACATTGAAGGGAGCTTCAAACGTTCATAGAAAAATTCTATTATCTTTTAATTCCATTTTTCCCACAAGTTTTGAAGACCCTTTGTATTATACTCTCACTGGACTGCTCTCCATAAAGCCAGCAGCGACTCTGTAGGAGAAACATGAGGCTGTCTGCTCCCACCAGGGTTTAGTCTCAGAAACCCGATACATGCAGGGTGGCTAGGGGTCCGAATCAACTCTACCAATGACAGCGGGTTTCATTTCTAAGCAAGGGTGGGGAACTTTGTTCCTGCCAAGGCGCACTTGGATATTTATAACATCATTCACAGGTTG